TATTTCATGAGTTTATGTTGGTTAATGAAAACCGATTGTGAAAAACCGGGTAATGAATCCCCGTAGGCCCAGATAAGACTTGGGATATGAAAAATGTTAGTTAACACCCATTATGTTTTCGAAAATGATTTTGAAAATTTTATACTGGTTTTTGGAAAATTCGAAATTTCTGTAAAAATCAAAGTGGGGTGTTACAGTTTCGTATCAGAGCCAGTCTGCGTTTCTGTAGACTGGTTTTATATGTGATTATGTAGTTAGACCTTGTATTATGACCACTCGTCTCCATCACTCCGCGCTGCTCAAGGTATGTATGATTTAAGTATTAATGAAAATACTTGAGATGTAAATGTATCGCATGTAGTAACTACTTTCAGTATAACTGTTATATTTGGGGCTTAGGATCTATCCACCATGATTTAATTGAACTCTAGTGTTTTAATTGGCGAACTCTAGACTTCAGTAAGTCTTGATTATTTTGTTTGTTCTTGTGCTAAACCCCGTTCAACTTATTCAATGTAGAAGTATGAATACTCGCAACAACAACCGTAATCGTCAACCATCCCCGCAGCCTTCTCCACCCCGACAGCACCAGGCCCCTCCTCCATGGACCTCACTCAGCTTATCGTTCAGTTTCAGCGCATGAATGCGCCCACTTTCACGGGGACGGAGAACCCCACAGCAGTGCTTGAGTGGATGAAGGAGCTGGACAAAATCTTTGTCGTACTCCCCCTCCCCGACCGTCAGCGCGTGTCTCTTGCGGCATATCAGATGAAGGAAGATGCCTCAGACTGGTGGATTGAGCTTTGGGCCCGGAAGCCCGAGGCAGAGCTTCATGCTCTCACTTGGGAGCAAATGAAGACGATGGTGCGTAACAAGTTCCTCCCTCAGAGCTTTTGGGACAGAATGGAGCACGAATTCTATAGCTTGCAGCAAGGTAGCTCTTCGGTGGATGAGTACATCCGCACTTTCACCCGTATGTGCCTTTTTGCGGGTGATGCGGTGAACACCGATGCTAAGAAGGCCCGGAAATTTCTCAAGGGTCTCAACCAGAGGATCCGTGAGTTGGTGGGAAGTCATGGACCGATATCCTATGCTGATACCGTGAGCCGAGCTCAGGAGGTGGAGAGCTGTCTCATTCCGGTTGTTCCCATTCCATCTTATCCTCCTGCCTCACAGCCTCCTCAGGCTATCCAGTATGCTTAGCCTATCTCGACCGTGCCGCCCGGCTCTAGCTCGGGTAAGAGGAAGTCCAACTTCAAGAACAAGAACAAGGGTAAGAAAGTAAGCTTTGATAGGCGCGACGACCGACCTTCCCCCGGCCAAGCCTGCCAGAAATGCGGTAGGTCCCATAGCGGTGAGTGCCTAGCTAGCCAGCGCACCTGTTTCAACTGCAACCGCCCGGGACATTATGCTAATGTTTGCCGCGAGCCAAAGAGACAGCAGCAGCAGCAGCCGCCCTATCCTCAGCAGCAGCAGCTTCCCCCACCACCACCACCGCACCAGCAGCATCAGCAGCAGCAGCAGCCCCCACCGTTCCAGCAGAGGGCTGGAGGCCAGGCCCGTGTCTATACCCTCACCAATGATGAGGCCGCTCGTAATGCAGGTACCACGTCCGGAATGCTTTCGATATCCCATGTGCCTGTTTTTGCTTTGTGTGATACCGGTGCTACCCATTCGTTTATCGCATGTCGTTGTTTGGAGGCCTTATCTGTTAGCACCGTGCATGCTTGTGATCCTCTCGAGGTTAGCTTAGCCTCGGGGAAAGTTATTATTTCTGATTCAGTAGTTCGCAATCTTCCTATCTGTATTGGTGGTCGAGTTCTGGAGGCCGATGTGTATGTTAGTGATATGCGAGACTTCGACGTGATCTTGGGCATGGACTGGCTCACCCGTTACCGAGCCGATATCCGGTGCCAGGAGCGCGAAGTCACCCTTTATCCCGTTTCCGATCAGCTGGTTGTGTTCTTTGGGGTGAGTTCGAGGACTGTGCCTCGGGTCATCTCTTCTATGCAAGCTATGAAGAGCCTTTCCAAGGGTAGCTGTCAAGGCTACCTTGTTTCTATGGTATCCGACGTCATTGATGAGCGGGTGCCCGAGCGAGTATCTATTGTTTGCGAGTACCTAGACGTCTTTCCTGATGACTTGCCCGGAGGACCGCCAGACCGCCAGGTGGAGTTCACTATTGACTTAATTCCTGGAGCCGGCCCCGTTTCTAAGGCCCCTTATCGTATGGCGCCGAAGGAGCTTCAAGAGCTCAAGGCCCAGATTCAGGAGTTGCTCAAGCTCGGTTTCATTCGTCCGAGTGTTTCGCCGTGAGGTGCGCCCGTCCTATTCGTGAAGAAGAAAGACGGATCCATGCGCATGTGCATTGACTATCGGGAGTTGAATGCCCTTACAGTCAAGAAAAAGTACCCCCTTCCCCGTATCGAGGACCTTTTCGACCAGCTGAGGGGAGCCAGCGTCTTCTCAAAGATTGACTTGCGTTCTGGCTATCATTAGCTGAAGATCCGAGAGTCAGACATTTCTAAGACTGCTTTCCGTACTCGCTATGGACACTATGAGTTCGTAGTCATGCCTTTCGGACTCAGCAATGCTCCGACCGTCTTCATGGACCTTATGAATAGGGTCTTTCATCCTTTCCTAGACCAGTTCATCATTGTGTTCATCGACGACATTTTGGTCTATTCCCGTGATATCGATCAGCACAAGGAGCATTTGAGGATTGTGCTGGAGACTCTTCGCCGCGAGAAGTTGCATGCTAAGTTCTCGAAGTGCGAATTCTGGCTGCAGCGTGTGGCATTTCTTGGCCAC